TTGCCCGAGCGCGCACACTCACGTACAAGTATGAAATTGACCTGGAAAATTTGAAAGACCAACGATGGAAAGATTGATGAAATAAGGAAATCGCATGCCCCTTCTGAGTTGAAAAATTCCAATGTTTCATGTGCTCGTTTTCGTATTCGAATGTATTTTGTTGCTGTTATTATTTTCATTATTGCAAATGTACATCACGTTCTGTCATATTCATGTAACATTGTAAAATTAAAACTTTAGTTTCAACATATTGTACTATATCTCCGACGAGAAATTCTTTTTAATTTTCAAATTAACGTAATTATTTCTTTTAGTTTTCAAGTTGAAGACATCAGCAAATCAGGCAAAAATAATTACTTTTCAGTCTGATCAAGATTTTCAGCTGTGAGAATTGACGCAGACGTGAAGTTAAAAAGTTGAAAGCGAGGGACTTGTTGCCGGTTCAATTGGTCATTTAGTATGCGTGTGTGTGCGTGTGTGTGCGTGTGTGTGCGTGTGTGTGCGTGTGTGTGTGTGCGTGTGTGGTTATATAAAAAGACGATAATGACGACCTAAATATTTTTGTCCATAGAAACTTGAACACAACACCATCAATTTTATTGTTCAACATTTATATTTTATCAGCATTAAAATCAACAAAACTATCATTTAGATCATTAATTTTATCAATTCAAACCACAACAACAACAACAACAGCCCAACTTCATAATCAACATTGACACACATGAGTAGGAAATTTGTAGTAGTCATACGTAGCGTAAAATAAACAGATCCGTAAGCAATAAGAATAGCAGTAACCACAAATATAACGTTATTTCTCTATAGTACAAAGTTGATTCGTTCAGTCGGTCGGTCAGTCTTTCTAGTAAAAGGTAAATGTACTCTGTATTATCACAATTCAGACGGAACCGAATTATTGTTTTGTTAAATGGTGACAATTTACTCTTGTTGAACAGTGATAAAATATTCGATACGATACATTATTATTCGTGAAAATATTTTTACAATATAATTTGTTATATATTTCTATTTTTTCAGTCTAATTCCATTTATAAGATTTGATAACAATGTGAAGTAGCAGCAGTAGTAGCAGCAGTAGCAGTAGTAGTAGTTGTAGTAGTAGTAGTAGTAGTAGTAGTTGTTGTTGTTGTAGTAAAAAAAAACTAGTAAAGTAGTAGTAGTAGTAGAAGTAGTAGTAGTAGTACCGGTAGTAGTAGTAGTAGTAATAGTAGTAGTAGTAGTAGTAGTAGTAGTAGTAGTAGTAGGGGTGGTGGTAGCAAAATTAGTAGTTGTAGTAGTAGTAGTAATAGTATTAGTAATAGTATTAGTTGTTTTAGCAGTAGTATTAGCAGTAGTGGTAGTAGTACTAATAGTACTATTTGCGGCAGTCCTACTAACAATATCACAAAATTTGCACTGTATTCCACCCCAAAAATGATTAAAAGTAAACTGTGTCAATAAACTGCAATCAACTTTCCAATTAGTATTTTTATTATCATTGCAACTTTCCTTAGGTAGACAATGGAGTGAATCTTTCTAATTGACTCTGCCAAATTTTTGTTAACCATTCTGAGGTTGTATGCGTGTTAGTGGAGACGAAAAAACATTTAAAGTTTGTGTTTACATTAGAATCTACGCAAAATATTTTAGGATATTTTTATTTGATATTTCAGCAAATAATTATTTTTCGGTTGATTACATAGTAGAACCGATCAAATTGGATTTTGTAGTTAAGATAGAAGTTTATCTTATCAATAAAATGACATCACTGACAATAAAATTGCAGCAAACATTTTCTAATGCTTATACTTCAGAAGAATTAATTAATATCCGGTTGAAAAATAAATTTGTAAATTTCTCGAAATAGCAGCTTTAACATCATCTTATATTTCATTCTATAATTAACATTGGCAAATTCATTAATTCTAAAACACCCCCAACCATCCCTATCTGGACCATTTCTACAAAATGAAGCCAAGACATATTTTGAATTTGAAAAAAATTGTGAAATTTGGAATGTAATTTATTTTAGGTGTTTTTAAACATTTCCATTTGAACATCGAGAATGATAGAAGACTCATCTTTTTCAGAATTTTAAAATGGTTTAATTTGGTAACACAAAATGAGACTCGGATAATGAACAAGAAAACAAATAAAATTAACAAATGAGTAAAAAATTTCTAACATCTTTTGATGACTTGCAAAAAGGAAGATGAAAAAAAAATTAATTAGGAGGGACGACATTCTCCAAAAAATTTTCATATTAACATTCAAGAAAAAAGCATTTTCATATTGAATTTTTAAAAAAAACTTGTTTTTCACTTGAAAATTTGTTTATGAAAAATACATTTAAAAAAATTTTGAATACTCCTCTACGAGATATTATAAAATCGTAAAATGTTAAAGTGAAAATGCAATCAACTTTCAGCTAACAATACAGATGAACCTGCAACATTTCAAAATTCACCTTACAAACATTTCGAGCATGATAAGCACATCATTACAAACTACAAATTACAATTAACCTCATAAAGGTACTCACAAAAATCGCGAAGACATGCCATAACTGTGCTACTAAGTGTGCAAACCTGAATCGTCAACAACAACACAAAGATGACAACGACTACACACAATAAAACCAACAACAAAACTAGCAAAAGATCAGACAACAATCTGGACAACAACCTAACCAACAATGCTGAAAACAAACTCAACAACAATATAAACAACAACAGCAAAACCGACAACAACAACAACAACAACATTAACCACAACAACAACAGATCCAAAAACAGATCCAAAGACACAAAACCAACAGTACGTAATACATCTAATTGCGTCACAGCCACGTCAACAATGAAACAGGAAACAATGTCCCATAACCAGGAATGCCTTCCCTATCCGGGTGGATTGCGACATTATCCGTAATGAATGTCAGAGATAATGACACCTCCAACTGAATTCATACTCTCCCAGTGAATGTATGCGCCAGTCAGGTTAACAACTTCGCATTGTATGCTAAATGTAGGTACAATCCAGTTGTTGTTATTTTTACTGCTAGGTTGAATAAGATTGCTTTTTTTCCGATCTTTTCATTTTGTTAAAATTATACTTATTTTTGTAGCTTTGATTTCTTGTTGCTGTCAATTGATTTATTATCATAAATGTTATTATTTATTATCATTACTATTTGTATCATAGTCATTAATATTATTGTTATTATTATTATTATTATTATTATTATTATTATTATTATTATTATTATCATTATTATTATTATTATTATTATTATCATTATTATTATTATTATACATACGTCATCTATTGCGACATAAACACTTTATAACCGTTTTAAACCGTAGCTTACAAAACTTTCTCAACAAAAATTTCATCAACTATTCCAGTTTTCAGTTAATGTTGCCTACAGATTTTGTATTTGAAACAAATTTTCAGTTTAAACAAGTATGGACGTGGAAATATATTAGAGCCAAACAATAGCAGACAAACTCAACTAAGAATTTAAAAAAATTAAGAATGAACAAAAAAAAACAGCAACAAAATAAATAAACAGATAACAAACAAACGAAAACAATCGAACATACATACCTACATACAAACAAACAAACATACATACAAACAAACAAGAAAACAAACATAAAAACAAACAACAAATGTACAAACAAACATACATACAAACGAACGAACGAACAAACAAACAAAAATGCATACCTACATACAAACGAGTAAACAAACGAGTAAACAAACAAACAGACATCGACAAAAACTAAAAAAGTTAACAACAAAACTCCAAACCCCAAAAACGAAAATGATTCAAATCCTGTCAGAACATGGCTTAATAATGTCAAGCAAGCATGCTTGCTTACGATGAATCTAGCCGGTCAAAATTAGCATGAATAATGATACCGACCCCCATTAACCACATAAGATTATTTTGTTCAAATTTGTATTCTCGCGCGTACAAAAACAAAACCACCGAATAAAATGTAAAATAATTTTAATAATTACAAAAATAATTATGTCATTATTTCGTAAATTAAACCGAAAATATATTTGCCCTGTTTGAAAGCTCGACATTAGAATAAGATTCTACTACTAGAACATTTGCACCAACTCAATTTTTTTTAAATTCATATTTTTTCCTAGAACGTACAGCGACGTATTAGAGTTACACAACAAAAAAATCATTGCCTCATTACCATCCCCTTACCGAATGCCTCGTGAGCGAGTGATGCTTCGTTTAGCACGCATTGGTAATCGTGTTTGTTTCTCCGAACCTAGAAAGAAACCATTTTTTCAAAGATTCGTCTTGATTTAGTTTTTTTTATAACCTTTCTTCAAATATTCATCTTGACCTGATTTTATTCTCCCAACATATTTCATCCGACAGCGATCGCCATTGAGGGGCTTTTAAACGCCAAACGTACATCTTGCGATAACGTGTGTGTGTCGGTATGTGTGTGTGTGGGTTTGTGTGTGTGAATGTGTGTGTGCGTGTATATGTTATATATGTATGTATATTTGTGTGTGTGTGCGTGTATGTAAGTGTGTGTGTGTGAGTTAGTGTGTGTCGTTATATGTATGAGTGTGTGTGTGAGTTAAGTTTGCCAGCTCCGTGATCATCTGAGATGTCTCAATATACACATGTGTTCCTGGGCTCTGTTTTATGAGTGCGACTGTGTGTGTGTGTGTTTGTGTGTGTCGGTGTGCGTGTATGTGAGTTAGTGTGTGTGTGTGTGTTTGTTTATGTTTGTTTGGGCGTGTGTGTGTTTCGTTATACGTCTGATCTTATACCCATTGTTTCTGCATTCTATTACTCTTCAAAATGTGCCCCCACTCATAATTTCCCCAACCGATCAACACAAATTGGATGAAGTGTTAATTTTAAAAAATTAAAAATGTTGACTAATGTTGGAGAATAAGAATGGCAGCATTGAGAATAGCGCTAGGACGATAGTGGAGGGACGGTGACGATGAAGATGATGGCGGAAGAGAGTGACATAAAAAAATATGACATCATCGTCGATCTTGACGATGCTGGCGACCATGGTGGCAACGACTATGACGATGATGATGAGGAAGATGATGGTGGCGATGATGAAGACGACGACGATGACGTCACTGTGCTTACTGTGGATGGGCTCGTGGCTGGGGTGAAATCGATGGAGATGTCTTTAATGACGTTCATGGCGCTCGATGTGATTGTTAAAGAGGAGGAGGAGGAAGAAGTAGAAGATGATGATGATGATGATGGTGATGATGGTGACGATGATGGTGATGGCGATGGTGATGATGATGATGGTAATAATAATAATAATCAAAATGACAATAAATAATAATAATATTATTATTATTAATATGAATCAGAAAAATAAACAATGATGACATTACGATGGGGATGATGAGTTTGTGGATGAAGCCTGGAAAATGATAGAGTGGCTTTTATTGTTTGAGACGATTACTTAATTCCACAAAACTGCTCTCAACCTTTATAAATTCATTCATCATCCTATTAATTATATATATGTATGTATGTGTTTTTATATGTATGTATGTGTGTGTGTATATGTTTATGTGTGTGTATGTGTGTGTGGTGTTTGTGTGGTGTTTGTGTATGTATAAGTATGTTGGTGTGTATATGTATGTAAGTAGATGTGTATGTGTGTGTGTAAGCATGCATAAATGTGAGTGTGTGTGTTTGTTTGTATGTATGTTTGTTTGTGTAAGTGTGTGTGTGTGTGTAAGTGCATGTGTGTGTGCGTGTGCGTGTGTGTGAGGGCGGGAGAACGAGGTCCAATTTATTTAACATATAAAATTTTTTCAAGAACGTTGAGGGAAAAAAAAAGAGATTTGAGCGCGGAGAGCGTGCAATTTGCAAATGGTTTTCTTTGCAGGCACACTGGAGAGGAATAAATTGCTACGTGTCAGGAGCGTGATCAATCATTGAAAAATATTAATGAAACAAATTGAACAAACATTCGTCACCGTAGTCGTTGTCGCTGTAACTCTCTCTTCAATCTCCCCCTAACCTATGCGAATGTAGGATTGAACGAATCACATCTCTGTACGTCTTCTTCATTTTGAAAAATTAAAAAATTTTAAATGATGAGGAAAGAACTGAGTACAACCAAAAAAAAAAGAAAAAAAGAAGATGAAATAAAAGAGTGAAAGGAAGAGAGAAAAAGAGATAAAGAACAAGAAAGAACACTAAGAAAGAGAGAAAGCCAAAAATAGTTTGGAAAAACAAGAAAAGAAGATTGGAATTTTGCACGTATTTTATTTCCTTAAGTGTGGGTCTCAAACAAATTTTCTTCACGTGCGCATCAACAATGAAACCAGCAATGTCTGCGAATTTCTTTTCAAAGTTTCCTGTATAAATCATCCTACGAGTCGAGGTAAATGAAAAAAAAATTATTTATTTTGAAAATCTGAATGTAAGGATGTGCAACTACCTTGGCCACTTTATATATATATATCACTCAATAAAATTTCAAATCCATTTTTGCTGTTTATTCATAATTTTGAAACATTACTTAGCTTATTTATTTCTGCTCCAATACACCCATAAGACGTTTATTGTCTTTTATTTTTGCCATGATTTTAAAAGATTGAACATTGATAAAGTTAAAAATTGCACAAAAGGGATTGAATTTGAAACCAGATCTGAAATCTGACAGATGTCTAAAATTTATTTAATTTTATCTTCGGAACTGCGTGTGTGCTTGGTCATGTTTCAAATACTTTTTTATATGTCAAAGGCAGTATTTGAAACAAATTCTACTGTCTTTTTATACCTTATCTTATTGTGATCACGTTTAAATAACAATAAAAATAGCAATAATAATGTTATTGCTAATAATAATAATAATAATAATAATAATAACAGCAAAAAGAATATTTTTTGACATTGCTATTGGTGATATCATTATCACTATTATTGTTGTTGTTGCTACTGTTGTTGTTATTAATATGACCGTTATTGTTATTATCATGTGATAGACGAGGATTCGTTAGCATTTGAACATGGTTTCTGCGTTAGAATGGTCAGACGCTTTACCTTCTCGCCGTTGAATTATTATCATTGTTTTATTGAATTCATTGTTTTTTTTTATTTTTATAAATCTTCATCATATCATTGACATAATTTGTTGTCGTTGTTGTTGTTGTTACTGCTGCTGGTATTACTACATTATTACGAATCAGTATTTTAAAATCAATATCGAATTATTTTAAAAAATGGAAAATAATTTCCATAATGATAATAATAATAATATTATTTAAATTATTATTATTTTAATTATTATTTCTATAATTATAAGAATCATAATAATTATTATTCCATTGAATTATTTCATATTTACATATTTAAATCATAAATTTATAAAATGTACGTTTCATTGATTTTTCGTACTTTGGGTTATTCGTTAATATTTCTAATATTTCTATCTACATAATTATCCGTTAGCATTTTTCATGTATCTCAAAACTTATGTTCTTTCAAGATGGTAACGAATGAAGAAAAAAATTCAGCTCCAAATTATGATTTGAATATGATTTTAAAACAAACGAATTGAGCCATCGAAGTCACGTTATATCACCAAGTCACAAAATTTGTAAACAGCATAAAAACAAAACTTAAAATAAACAAATCCGCTTTCGGAATTTGAATTTCTTTTAATGTCTTTAATAATTTGCGTATTATTATTATTATTTACTTCCATCAACCCAGTAGCCCATGCAGCAATCGACTTGAAAGAATCTTACATTGGATGCTATCGAAACATCAGCTCAACGAAGACAGTTGCATCAGTTGGCTCAGTGGATGAATGTTCACAGGAGTGCACAGATGAAAATAACAGTATGATAGCTTTGAAGGATGGAGAAGAATGCAACTGTATTGAAAGGTTAGATTCAGTAGTGGCTTCATCCCAGTGTGATGTTATCTGTGACAATGATGATGCTTGTGGTGGAAGTGATTCGTATTCCGTCTACAAAAGCAAGCCACGAGTCATGCATGACGCCTTTTTGAGTGTGGATAATCATCAACCTGAGGATATCGTGATGATCTTACCAGCTTTTTCCACTCTCGAGATGTGCGCACATTTTTGCTTTGAAACGAATCACACATTCTTTCAAACAATCAAAAATGGTAGCTGCAGTTGTTTCCAAGAGCATCAAGTAACTCTAGGTTACGTGCAAGAACAGATATGTGAAAAATGCACATATGATTTGAACGAAGTTTGCGAGTGTTATCATAAAAACTACCAAGACAAGACCACAATATTTTCAACACGCTCCCAATACGACTTCCAACGAGGAGTATCGACTTATTCTCACTGCAGGAACAGAAACAACGGAAGTTACGAAATAACAGAAAAATGTCCTGAAGGATGCGATCCGGGATGGAGAGGTGATTCATGCAGAGAAAGAGATTGCTCATCTGGTGGAGGAGGTTGTCCCAATGGAATGGGATGCATTGAGTCCATGGTGAATGATGACGATTACGTTGAATGCGTCTGTCCCCCTGGTAAGGTCAGAAACAAGTGGTACCAATGTGAGGTTTATAGGAAAAATATAGCTCTTCATAAACCTCCATATTACAGTTCGATTTGGCCTCTAGAAACAAGCCACGGTCTGTTTTTAATAAGCCCAGTATACCTAACTGACGGCATACACAATGGATATTTTATATCCCACATCTTTGATTCTATGCCAGCTTGGATGGCTGTCGACCTACTCAATTTATACTGCGTTGGTTTCATTAGAGCCTATGGAAGACTTAATGCAGTTTTGCATATTGTAGGTCGTATGGACAGGTTTGTCGTTAGACTCAACGAAACATTAGACACAACTTCCAAAAACGACCTAAGAACTCAAACTAACTTGTGCGGATATGGACCAGAAAAAGCGATACAAAGTGGAAACCCCATGGTTGTTTTATGTGAAGACTTCACCATCTTTTCACAATTTGTCATCATCCAACAATCGGATGAAAGACTGCATGAAGGTGTTACCTCACTGGCAGAATTGGAAGTGTTTGAAGCCGGATGCGATCTTTTAAACGGAAGATGCAAAAATCAAACCTGTGTGGAAGTGAAAAACGGAGATAGAAGGGTCATTTCCTGTGTTGAAGTTTATTCTACCACTACTGCAAATACAAACTTTTCTGCAACAGCTGCAAATAGAAACTTTTTTGCAACAGCAAATGCGTCTGCATATATAACTTATTCCACCTCCAGTGAACTGTTTAAAATCGAGTTAAATAATTTGTGGTTTTTATTGGTTTTGTTAGTTTTGCCAGTTATTTTTGCAATTTCGTTTTTCAATAAAAAAAAAAAGGTAGCTGACAAAGCAGGTGAATTATCATCAAAATATTCCGGCAATAATGATTTAGAATCAGCAACTGATTAAGAGAACATTCATGCTTTGCAGAACGCAATAAAAAATGCTATTGCTGGATTATTTATTTTTAAGAACAGACTTATATCTCTGGAAAATTGTTTTCATTTTATAAATGCCATTTTTTTAAACAGCCAACTGTTTCACAGAAATTCAATTTTATTGAAAATTTAAAATGAAAAATTAATAATAATAATCAGAGAATATATACTTATCAGTAAACGTTGAAATAAGAAAAAACACAGTCATACCTAAGTGTTGTTAGTACCCACAAATCAGGTGGAACCATTGTTGCCAAAAGTGTAACCAGGAATTGATGTTAGGTTTAGCCCCAACCATCAAAAAATTTAACTTATAATTATATATATATAAATATAGTATATAACAATATATATATATATATATTTGTATGTAATTATTGATGAAAGTTAGCTTTAGTTAGCTTCCTATTTATATACTTTTTCGATTTTTCTAACAGTAGATAGTTCAAAACGAAAAAATAAATAAAATAAACACGCATTCAAAACCAAAATTTTTGTGTATCGTATTTTCAATTAATTTTTTCAATCTAATTAAAAACGGGGTTATCTGTTCGGTTGGCGTTAATCTTTCTATCTGAAATTATTTGCGAGTTCCACATTATAGCGATTTTTTTTCGTCGTGGTTTAGGGCTTTTGTCCGTCCATAGGCATAATATCTTTCTCTAACTTCATTTTGTAGTGTAGACGAATTTATTGAATGTATTTAGTCAAATAACTGTGCCATTTCAGGTAACATTTTTTTTAGTCTTTATTATTGCAGCTCTGACATACGCAGAACCACTTACAGATATATTCTCTTTATATCTTTTTTATTATGTTCTTCATATCTTCAGCCGTTGATTTGAAACATCCATCTTCGCCACAAAGGCCGTTTATCCTTTTCACACGAGGTGCACATGTATTTATGTGCACGCGCAATCACCGCATCATAAACACTGAGTATATGATAGCCATTGAGAGGTTTGACTCAGCGCGCATTTGAACCACTGGGCCATCTCGCCGGCCAAAATGCGACAACTTACGTCGTCTGCCCATTTACAGCCTTGAAAAGATGGACGGCTGGGTAAGCTTTGGTTTGTTAACATGTAGACGACGCTAGAGCTAAACACCTTGCAAATATACCATCAACCAGTTCTAACTCTAAATTAATATGACACATTATTATTTTTATTACTATTATTATTTATTATTATTATTATTATTATTATTATAGTAGTGGTAGTACTAGTAGTAGTAGTAGTAGTAGTAGAAGTAGTAGTAGTAGTAGTAGTAGTAATAGTAGTAATAGTGGTGATAAAGATACAAAAACAATAGAAACATTGATTTCATTTTAAAAATTTATTTAAAGTTGATGCACGAAGAAGATTCATAATTACTCACACACACACACATACATACACACACACACACACGTACACACACACACACATACATATACACACATACAATTTATTACAAAGTCGTTGTCTAAGAAGAGGTATGGAATAATTTTATTTAGAAACATTTTTAAATAAAAATAATATTTCGCGAGTGAAAGATCAAAGCTGGCCGCATTGTTGGGTTGTGAGGAGATTTTTGGATAGATGCCTACTTTATTAAGTTGGAACGCCACATCAAACACGTTATTAAGCAACGAATCATTCCCTCACAACCACCTCAGGTTGCAAACGAAATGTATAAACACGCATTTATTAAAGTTGTTCATGAATATTCGAATAAAATTATTCAGTAGAACTTCAAACCCAGTCAAATAAATAACAAAGAATAAATGGTTTATGAGGAATATTTCTACATATTAGGATGAAATCAAACGCATTAACTATGTTTGCTGGATTGAATGTGTGAAAAATATCAAAGTGGTTATTTTACCAGTTATGATGCAGACAAAAGAGGCGAGCATGCAAGCCAACAACTGACACGGAAAGGACAAACATGCAGATATTCAAACATACATCCAAACAGACACTCAAACAGCCAAACACACCACAGCTGAAAATATCTTCGGATACACCAAAAAAAACATCATTATCGCTAACTTGTATAATAAAGACATAAATCCACACTAGCCCAAACTTCCACTGATGTACACAAAGCCTCCGAACGAAGAAAAAACACGAACGAACGACCAATCGTTCAGTCAGGTCATAAACAAACACAATCCACATATAAGGAAACATGAGCGTTCACAAACAAGATGACAGATGTATGTTTCTCTCTATATCTCGCACACACATACACATAAACACGCGACCACAATATCACACACGCTCACGAAAACATATAAATACATACACATTTCATGCCAACACATTGATACAAATAAAGTCATTCCCTAATAAACATTCAATTGTGCACAAATACATACAAACGCGTAGACACGTGCAACCTCGACAACTCGATCTACTAAATACACTCACACACACACACATACACACACAACACACACACACAACACATACAACACACACACAACACACACACACATGAACACATACACGTATATACCAATGCACACACACACATACACACACATGAACACATACACATATATACCAATACACACACACATGAATTATTAGACACACATCAACACACACACACAAACACACACAGATGAATTATTAGACAAGTAGAGAATACGATCTCGAGACAGTTTCTGAGCAATGGATGTAGTAAATAAGCAGCCATGTTACTTACCACGGGTCAGTATGTCATATTGTTTCAAACCGCTGCTATAACGTAATAATAAATATTGAATAAATATTATTTTAATAATTATTATCACAAAACTAAATTCAATTATGTGCAATTTTTAATGTAACTTGTAGTATTCGAAGGCTCTTTCTTCTAATTTTAGTACAATTTAACATTTATATGTACATTTTCTGCCAGAGGTATACAAAAACTTACGTTACGCTATGTTATGTTATATATAAATATATTTATATGTATGTTTGGGCTCAGACTGTCATATATACAGTTATTAAAAAATATCACCGCATTTTCCGCATTATATGAATGTGTATATGAATATGTTCTTCTCATGCTTCGTAAAATCAATACCAATGTGAGAACAGGCAAGGATCAATCGTCAAATTCTTCTCGAGTTTGTGTAGACAGCTGATTTTGTTGAAACACCCTGATCGAATTCAGCAGTAACAACATTCAGAGTGATGTTAGGCCATCAGTTGCCTAAAAATAAAGAACAAAATTTTACGTAACTATTGAACTTTTATGAAGCGATTCTGTGATATTATTTATAAGGCTCTCAATAAGTACTAAACAGTAATAATAGAATCAATTTAGTATCTTAAAATATAATATAGTTAAGTGGTTGAAGTGTCTGGTTCTCTCTCTCTCTCTGCCTCTGCTATGTTGACAGTAACCAGGTTCAATCGCAGAGTCGTCCACCCATCATTTGCATTGTGTGTGGTGTGTGGTTTTTCGTTTATTTATATGGAAATGCGTTTCCAATTTTAATAGTATTGCAGAAATGTTTACTCCTAAATTATTTAATTTTGTTTAATATAGAAGATTTATATGGGTTGGAATGTTCATTTTACTGAACATATTTATCTAATTTCAGTTAAGCTTACGTGTTGGTCGGATTTGATGGTGTGTGTTGTGTTAAAACTCTTAATCAAACCATTGTATCTGCATATGTGTGTTTTTGTGTTTACGTAAGTACGTGATTCTACTGTGCACTAACTGAACATATAATACACGAACCGAGTCTACCCTACTCTGCGTATTGCATTAATAATTGGAGCAATGTTTTTGTAGAAGGAACAAATTTCTTATTTGATGGCCTCCCATAAAACAGCAGCTGTCTGACTGACCGGGCGATCATAATAAACATGCCTGTTAATTTATTCTACATGGTCAGTTTATCAACTGGACGAGTTTGGCAACCAGAAAAGTTTCCAGAATTTGGAAAAAAAAATGAAAGAAAATATCACTGATTTTATCATTGGTTTCTAGTTGTTAATATTCAACACACACACACACACACACACACACACACACACACACACACAAACACACATTATTTAAAAGCTTATACGCACCCAAGATTGCGTTGTTTCTATGAACATTTGTAAAAGTGTTTGTGTGTGTGAGTGTGTGTGTGGTGTGTGTGGTGTTGTGTGTGGTGTGTGTGGTGTGTGTGGTGTGTGTGTGGTGTTGTGTGTTGTGTGGTGTGTACGATACGGTAGATTCAAAAACTTGGCATATTTTAACAGTCCTCCCTACCGACATCGTTGTTGCAAATTAAATTATTATCTTGCCTCGACACAAGACGACTCTCAATAAGTTACGTTCGTTCGGGTGAACACGTCGGACGTTTAATGAAGTTCCGCTGAGAAAGCTTTCGAACCGGGTCACCGCGCCATAGCAAGAACATGAGACATGACACCCTACAATTTCGGCCAACCAACACACCGATCATTTTCTGGTGTGAATATTCATGGCGTGGAATGGACTGGAGTGGCCGATGCTTTCGCGAACGTTCATGCTCCCACGTCACGATTGCTTTACCGTTACATCAACTGACGGGAACTTCGTCTGAATTATTGATGAAGATGTAAATGTGAAACGAGATGTACTTAAAACATCAGAGAATGAAATTTTTCGTTCAAATAATTTTTTCATTTTAAAAATTCTAGCGTTTTTTTTTTAATTTAAAACGTTTTTTTTTTAATTTTATCCCATAGTAATATTTTTTCGTCATTTTTCATTTTTTCAATCTTGTTAGAAGGATATTTTTTTTGTCACCGTAATAGACTAAGTTCAGTTTTTTTACTTCAGAATTGTTTGCATTGATACATTGGAGTCAGTTTATTCAATCGGTAGAACGTATCAAGTTACAGTAACCCCTGTTGGCATTTCTTTTTGTATTGCATCAAATATCTGTAGTCGAAGATCCAATTAGGTGGTTTTAAAAATACTATCGCTACTCTTGGCTTCTGCTGA